CAGCCACTGCAAATGAGGAATTCCAAGTGCCACAGCAGCAATTGTTCCTTTCGAAACCATTATATTCTCATATATCAGGATCAGGCAAAGGAAGTTGGTGGATCCAAGTAATTATCGTACTGACATTTGAGCCCAGGGGGTCTCGAGGCTTCCTCAGACAACAGCCATTCGTTTTGCACAGCAATTTCCACTTTGGAAATTGAGGGAAGTTTCAAAGGCAAGTTATGATATCACATAGGAGTTGGTTGTTGAAAAATAAGTCACTGGGCCAGCACAAGTTCTTTGGGTGACCCAAAGCATTGGTTTTGATCCTGTCTGAGTATTTTTTACTACTTGAACTTCTCTGTTGTATTCAAGCATATCTACTTGTTACTATAGTGTGATTTGTATTAAGCACCCTTACAATATTTGGACATCTTATTCTTCAAAGCAACATTGTTTTACACATTGTTGCATAGTCTGTGTAAACTGTGGCTAGCTCTTGAGAAATTAGTTATTAATAAATCTTATAATTGTACTCCTACAACAAATTGAGAATATATATCTTAAAGTAGTAACTGAAGACTACTTGTGTTGTACTCACAAATTAATAATGATGGAAGAGGCTAAAAGTCTATAAAATACAAGTGCTGCTACAAGGCATGGCCAGTTGGCAACAGATCCACCATGAGGCATGGGGTAGAATGCAGCACAGCTGCCTCTTGAAATAGATGGTGAAGGACTAGCAAGATGGCTGCCCTAGTGCCATCTAACCTGCCTGTCTGCCTTTGGCTGTCCCATCTCTCATGCTGAAAGATTCAGTTGTCAGCCTATTTGGTTTCAGTATGTGGAATGCGAGAGGAAGGTGGCATAGTAAAATATATTGCACTGGCCTGATGATCAACCAGAGTTGGTACTTGCAGCCACTTCTGTACCAAAACCCCACCTGCCCTTTCACAACCTCATTTCCCTGCAAAAGTGGCAGTTCTTTTTCAGCTTCTTTCTCAGGAATGTTGAGAATTTTGGAGAACCTTCTCAGGTGGCAGGGCTTCAGTGCTTATCTTACTGTAAGCTGGTGGATGATGAGTGGTAGTGGTGAGGTGTACATTCTTTATTTTTTCATTTGTATCCTGTTCTAGCCTTGCAGCCTCCCAGATTGCTTGATCTTTATGACCTCCCCGCCCTCCAAGGATTTCCTTGAGGCTTTCTAGCACTGTTGCCTCAGGTCTGCCTGAAGGCTGAACAAGATATTTTTGGTTTGGTTTTCTTGTTGCTAAAAGTCCTTTTAACAAGATCAACAAGAAAACAAGAACTTTTTACTCATATTTAAGGTTCTCAGCAGATTGTGCACACCACTACCACTTTTGATCCAGTTCCTACCTGTAAGAAATGTCCTGTACCCTGAGAAATTTCTCAGAGTGACTTCACTCATTTACACCAATATTCAGGTGCATTTCTTTTTGCTCCTTCTCCCAACAAATGATTCAGAATCAATAGATCCAGATCTATAATGAATAGATAGAAAATGAAGAAGGTCTAACACAATGTGATAGCTTTAAAAAGGAACTGGACAAATGCAGGGAAGAGAAGGCTACCAGTGGGTACTACCCTTGATGGCTATGTGCTGCTTCTGGCATCAAAGGCAGTATGCCCGTGTAACTACTCACTGGGGAACTCATATCCAGTTTTAGGGATGCTCTGAACAGCCAGTTTGCTATCATATAAACAGAATATTGGACTGATCCAGTATGGTTCTTAAATTCTTATGAAGCGTCATGAACTTCCATGGTGTGTATATTTAAGACAAAGTGGTGGAACCTAGACTGAGATCCCTGTTTGGCTAAAGAGCTCAATGGGTGCTCTTTGGAAAACCACTATTTTATTTATTTATTTCGAAAGCTTCTATGCCGCCCCATTCGCTGACGCCTCAGGGCGGCTCACAACAATAAATAACATAATAACGGTATAAAAACAATATAGTTGGAGATGTCCAATTTACCCCAATTTGGGGTAACATGAACTATTTCCCACTCTTGTCCATGTTCTTAATGGACTAGCTTTCTGCTCTAAGTTCTTTGGACAAAAAGTAGTATACAAACATTGCAAATAAAAAGGAGGGGCTTATTATAATGACAGTTTGTTTCAGTATGATGGACGCTGTGTTGAATGTTTGGACTAGCAACAGAGATACTCAGCTCCATCTGGAAGCCAAAGTATGTGTAAAATGATGCTGAACTGGCAGCTGGACCGACAGCTTGCACCAGTTCATACATAACACCAAATGAAGATGTGACTGCAAGGAAACTAGAGTCTTTTGCTTTCATTCAAGATTAAACACAGCTTATGTGTCATCTGACCCTTTAAATTGTGGTTAAAATCAATGGTAGTTGGTGGAAACACACCAGCCAAGATTTAAAGGTGGCTTATTTTCACTTACCATAGTTAAGACTGGCAAAAGTTGGGTTCAAATGATAAGAACTGAAAAGAATGTATGGGGTTGCATTTTAAGAAAATTCACTCTTGAAGGTTAGCCATGTTGGTCTGTTATTAGTCTCAACTAAGTTATTGCCTAAATATACTTGAGGTTTGTCAAGAAAGGTACATTTAATCTAATCTAATCACATCTCACCTCATCATTGGCTTTACAGTCTACTATTTACAGTTTGTTTTCTGTACCCTTGCATGTATGTACATATATATGTACCAAGGATAACATTTCAGGCATTTGAAATTTAATTTCTTAACTAGCTCCATTTTTTCTTCCTTCACATTATCAATGCTGCAGTGAAATTACTTGGTAGACAACATAAGAAATTGGAGTCAAAAAGCCACAGACACACCTTCCTAATAGCAATAATTAGCTTACGCCTTATTATTGTCATGCTACTTCAAGCATTTGCCCCAGGCCAGATAATGTAATCAATGTACAGATAAATTTATTGATCAGTATCATGGGATGGATAGAAATTAGATGCATGAGTGGGAGAAAGAAGGTGCTAGGAAATGCAAGACCTGGATAGGAGATATAGCTGTGTGCCAAGCTCAAAAAGAGATCTTTTATGTGGATGGCTTCATAGGTCTGTTTTTGGCAGGTGTTACTGAAGTTACACAAAACTGCTTTTAAAATCTCTTAATCCCAGCAAATATGGTTGGCAAAATGTGAAAAAGTAAAGCTGGATCCAGACTTAGTCATACTTATAGAGCAGACTTGTTCAAACTAGTACTATTCAAGTGAATCACAATCAACTTAAGCCCTTTTGATTTTAATGTGTCTACTCCAACTATGACTAAATCCAATGTAGAGGCTGGATTCACATGGCATGGCAAACAACCCTGTGTTGTTTCCAAAGCATCTGGAATTTTATCCAGAATTACCCGTCAGACTATTATGCAGTTTCCTGAGCTGTACAGTTTCTGTATACCTCAATCAATCCTTCTGGCCTCACCATGCATTCTGACATTCCCCTTGGGCAAAATCCTGCCTTTCATCTGTTCTTGCCTGAGGACCACAGCAACCTCTTACTGATTGATCTAATGGAACTCTGAGGTGAGTTTCCCCCTTCCCGCTACAAGAGCACCTGTATGTCTGTAACACTTCCCAGCTTGTTCAACCCACACAGAGATTTTGTCTTAACTGTTCCACCATGATTCCCCCTTCTCCCTCCATGTCTTCCCATGCCGAATCCCTATTTCCAAAAATAAAAAAGGATTTGGACACATTGCTCATCCGATGGGAATGAGCGATAAAGTGAGCGATGACACATCTGTAGCTAGGGAGCTGAGGGCAGTAGAAATCAGAGGCTAGTGGCAGCCAGAGTTCTTCTGCCAGGAAACGTTATGATGTTTCCATCCCAACAATGGTAAACTGGTAATCCTGGGTTCTGACAACCAGAGGGGTCCTGGAAGTGTGGAAACCTTATACCATTGATTCTGTGGTTTCAGAAAACTAATCCTATCATGCAAGAATCCTGGAACTGGGTGCAGACAACATAGCACTGCTGCAACAGTAAGATCTTATTCTGACTTCTCTTGTCTTGCAAACCCACCCTAAGTTCTGATACACTAATGAGGTTTCTTTGTTAAACTGGCAATCAAGCTTTGATATGCTAATGCAGGGGTGTGGCTTGATTTCATGACTCTATCCCAGTGTGGGTGGGGCACCCCCCCCCGAATTCTATTTTTACCAATTTGTAGTAGGAAACAAGTCTACTCAGAAGTAATCATGAGAATCACATCCACACAACAAGTAAGAAAGACAAGCCTTTCCATGTCTAATCAAAAATAACAGGACTGAGTCACTCAGCAACTTTATAAAGTACTGTTTTTCATTTTAATATTTCCACAGTTCAGACTGAAAAATCTACATAGGCATAAATCTCATTAATTTCAGTTGGACCTAAATATAAATATGTGGTGGCTGGTGGTCAAGTGCACAACCCAGTGCACAAGCAATTACATATATAATTTTAAACAGTATATATATCAATGTGCTCACAAATAACATTGGGATCAGTTATTTTCAAAGCTCTTAAAAGAAAAAAAGACTCAGTCAAATGAAAACTGTAATTCACAGAATTATATAGCAGATAATTTTGATTCTGAGATCAAATTATTTTAGGGTTGCTTTAAAAGAGTGATTTAAATGTAGGCAGAGAAAAAATAGGTAACTGTTTAAAATGTACTTGTTTAGATAGAAAAAAAGTTCTACAATTCCCAGCCTGGCTCAGCTGCTTAAAATGTAGATTGTACTGTTCACACAGGACAAATACTTTTCAGTATCTTCAGTAATACCTAATATTAAAATCATTTTTGAATATACCTAATGGCTAGAGAATATAGGAGTCTGAGTCTAATGTATGTGGAAAACACCAGGTTGGGCAAAACTGACTGAAGGAGAAAAAGGAATGGGAAAACTACTGAAAATGGAATTGCTCAGGAGCATCCATTCATTCCAGTGGTGCTCACATAAAGGATTTCCTGGTGGATTGTGGCCAGGGCTTTCAAAACCAGTTGCAACACATTCATTTCTTTACAAAGTTTTCAACCAATGCCTTAAAAGGGGGCTCTGGATGATTTAAAAAATCAAGTTCCTCTTCATCTGACTGGCCAGTACAGGAGCTCAGGGAACCAACTGGTGATTCTTTTCCTTCATATTTATATCGATGTACATATTCTCCATCATGTTTATGGTCTTCATCCTGTTCACATTGAAACACCAGCTGTATAGATAGAAAAAATGCCTAACCATTAATCATTTTCTTAAATGCATCTAAAGTGAGAGGAATTTTTTAGATTTTACATTTAATTGTTTAATCATTTAATGTTTTGTCAATGTACTCTGCAATTGTTCCCACATACAGAAGATGTCTGTTCTCTTTTTAAAAAAATTCTCACAGGGACTAATCAATGCAAAGAAACTCTTATAAATGATTTATGTACTTTTTCAAAAACTAAAAATTAAGAATAAAATTTAGCTTCCATATCTGAGACAGGAATCAGTTTTTGTATCCAGAGCAAAACTGTACTTTTTTCCTCCAGTCTCTTCCATAATACATATGATTCCTTGCACACCAGCATTATTCTAAGCATCCATGAAATTTGGGGTAGGTATCCTGGTTCCCTCCAAATGTTTTTGGACTTTAATTCCCACTGCCCCAGCCAGCATGATCAAGTAGGGGAATTATAGACCAATAGATGTGGATGTTGCGGATACTGTTTTATTCTGCTTCCCCCTCGTTTTCTCCTGCTTTTTCCTGTTTTATCTCGCTGCTTTATGCTGTATCATTTATAACTTACTTTCAACTTGTTTAATAAGATATTGTTAGCTGTCTCATACCATTTCTTAAAAATGGATGGCATATAAATCTTTTATACAAGTAAATGTACCACTGTTGTGGAACACAAACATGAATCAAACAGAAGCAATTTCAGTAAAATGACAGAACCCATCAAATTCACCTTTTTGAATAGAGCAATACAATGTTGGTTTATTAATAAACCCAAACGTCTGAAATAACTAGAGCAATACAGCAATATTCAAAACCAGAAAATGCACCAACACTTGCTTCTTAAGTGAATAAGCTTAACATTAGTCTGAGCATGAACTCTGGTAAATCTACATCGGAACACCTACATGGTGTTGGATTTGGACTTACTTCAGCTAAATGAGAATTGGTGAAATTCTGCCATTTGGAACAGAAATCTCTGTTCAAATTCCTCTGAAGCAGTTCAGAATCCCTTAATGAAGCCGCCACTTGATTTCCTCCTCCCTTGACAAGTTCCAAGCTTTCCTTCTTTCCAGTTTTCTCTTCAAGTGTGCTCATGCTCATGGATGCATTCATTGTTTTAATGTGAAGGTTCTGGGTTGTGGGGGAAATATAAAAGATTTTCTGAAAGAAGCAGTTCCTTTTTCTCACTAATAGTAGCTGTTCCCAACCTTTGTCTTTCAATCTTGGACCTCCCATCAGCCCCAGTCAATGTGACTAGTCATAAGGAATCCAACTGGAGGGTCTTGGGGAAAAAAAGTTCTACTGTTCAATGGAAAAATCTGGAATGGTCATAAAAATGAAGCCTGTGCTTGCTCTGAACCAAGACTGAACGATACATTAAATAGTTTGCTCCTAACCCATCTAAATCCACCCCTTCTTGCTTCATGTTGTTCAAAGCAGCAACTCTTGCCCATTTCCTTGCCATCTTCACTGTTTTCTGGCCAAGGCACCATTCCTTCTGGAACATGCTCTTGATACATTTTACAGAGCAGAACCTGTAGGTCCCACCTGCAATCATGTTACAGACTAAGTTTTCAATAGGCTAAGTTTGCAACTCCAATTCCATCTTTTTAACAAAAAGAGTTGGGCCCACTTGAATTCCTAAGCCAGAAAGTGATCCCTTTTCTGGATCTGTACCCACCAGTCTTTTGAAAATTCAGGACCCTGATTGTTACAATGAAAACTGCCTGACCATTCAGCAAATGATCTGAAACATGTTATTTTTACTACTGAATTGATATGTTGATACATTCAGCAGACTCACTACTGCTGATTTTCCAAATCCCTCCACACACATACTATAGAAACTCAGTAGTGCCTTTTTATAGTGACAACATTGGCAATTCGTGTACTTCTCCTCCTATCCTTGTATCATTAACTTTTACAAATGCAACGTGCAATCACCTAAGCATGGACTCTGGCCCAGTTCACTCTGTCCAGTGGACCCATGGTTAACAAACTGCATGTGCACAAGCAGGCTGGCTCCACCCCACTTCTGCTTTCAGAAGCGCCACAAGAACAGGATGTTGTTGCAATGATGTTGTTATAATGTCACTTGTGTGCAGCCAAGCAACTCTTGGATCATTCAACCTAGCAGCTGGTGCTACAAACAAACCGGGCCCCTGTATCACAGAAATACAGTTGTCCTTTTTTTAAAAAATAGCAAATACATTGGCTAGTTTACTCATTAGTTAGGCAAGCTAGACAGACAGGCAAAATGTTGCTTACCATGAGTTCTTCACCTGGTGCTTCAATGTTTGATACCATTAAGTTCTGGAAAGCTACATTGTCACACACTTCTCGAGCCATAAGACCTTTTCTATGGATCCAAAAGCCTAGGAATGTACCCATGCCTACTGCAGGAGGAAATATACAAAACCTGATATTTAGGTTTCATTTATTATTTAAAAGCATGTATGATGGAATTTGGACTTCATTACCGTAGGAAGTAGGTGTTCATGTTTATAAAACTTTGAGAGAAATGTATATATTTAAGCAGCACAGGGAAGGGCACTGGAATATGTGCAATGCTTACAGAGGTGTAGCCAGAGTCAGATCTTGGAGAGTAGGTCCAGGCCCCCAGGATCTGGGGGGCCCTGGAGCAACCCCCTGAACTTGCAGAGGTGGCTTTTCTTTCCTCTCCTTGCTCCCAGCTGCAGGCTTGCATGGCTAGCTGAAAAGAAATTGACATGACTGTTGTTGGCATGACCTTGTTGTTCAGCATGCCATTTAAAATAACCCCTTTCTTGCTTAGGTTTTGAGTAATAGTGATCTGAACCTACCAGAGTCTGCCTTCAGATCCTGTGTCCTCACTGACCATGTCCCCCAAAGGCAGCATCTGATTGGAGAATCACAACTGATTTTTTTCAAAGTTCTTTTCGTAAAATGGAGTGCAGGCTCACACAGCCAAGTGTCATGGCAATTTATTCATGCCAACCAGCAAGCCTACAACCATAGTCTGAACAGTCCACTCTTTGAATGAAAGACCTGCCCCAGTCTGACTTAAAAATAAAGGTCATAAGAAGGGCCTTGAGGATGTCCAGCAAGAAAAAGGACCAAGCAGGCACACTGGTCATGGGGTTTTCTTCCTATGGGGAGATGCAGTTATATGGTAATCATTTCATGATGTGCATGCATATTTATTAGCACATGCACATTTTATGTAAATCTGTACCCATCTTTTGTCCATTTGCTCCTCTTTGACAATGTCTGAATGGCCAACCATAGACCTGATCCAGATCAGGCCCTTGGTCTGGCAACTTGCATTGCAAATAACAATAATTAACACAAATGGATCATGTTTGGCAAGATAAATTGGTGGTATGTGGCCCCTCCTTCTGACTGGCACTACAGATGAGGACAAGGAGTTAAAGCCCCCTGGGTCTCACTGTTAACATCTGTATTATTTTTTAGAGCTGTTCAATTCAAAACTGTTGATAGGCTGTTGATCAGATTTATGTGTACTCATTTTTGTCACAGAACTGAGATTCAAGAACTGCACAAAAATATTTCTTTTCTTTCCTGCTACATAACCTACCTTCCCATGCTCTACATAACCTGCTACATAACCTGCTACACAATTACACAAGCGGTAAAGCAGTAACACAGTTACACAAACATTAAATGCCACATTTTTCCTGCTGCATTAAGACCTTTCCAAAAGTGTAGATTAGAATAAAGAACAAACTACACAGGGAATGACAAACACCCAGTAAATGTATCATGTTGAAAAATCTAGAGTAAAGAAAATAACTATGTGTAGTTTGACCTGAGTAGCACAATGCTATGGATCCTAGACAGCTTCTAGACAGACTCTAGATCAGGGGTGTCCAAACTTTTTGCAAGGAGGGCCAGATTTGGTGAGGTGAAAATGTGTGGGGGCCGACCATTCAGCCTGACATTCTTTGAACCATTAACATTAAATGCAAATGAACTATTTTATGAAAGACTAAACAAATAACTGCACTAATGTGAAGGGTGATAGTGAGATCTCGACTGCATTATATAGGCCAGGTCTGGCTCAAAAACAGTGGTTTTGATGCGCAAGATGTCACACAGGTGAAAGTCACTTAGTCTTGTCCTCATACGGTTCTTGTTAATATTCATAACCGAGAATGTCTTCTCGCACAAGTATGTCGAACCAAACAAGCTCAGCATTTTCTTAGCAAATGTTCGAATCTCTTGGAACCTGTCTTTATCCAGCTGGCGGTAAAAGTTGACAAGAGGGAGCTGTTGGTGCCGACTGCAACACTCGGCGTCACAGTGCAGCTCAATGAGCTCCAGCTGCAGGTGGTCTGGAGTGTCATCAGGGTCCACAGAGAAAGGAGATAAAAAAAGCGTGATCTCCTTTTCAATAGCTGCAAAATCCCAAAAGCACTGTTGAAACTCTTCAGCCAGAGATGTGATGTCTGCTTCATACCTCCTTATTTGCGCACTTATATTGTTCTGTGGAAAACTGGTCATTATTTCCTGCAGCGATGGGAAATGTGTGGTATTGGGCTGCGTTTGTGACAGGTGCCTTTGGAAAAGTAGCAGCTTGGTCCCAAACGTTTTGATATGTGAAGGCAGTTGGCTTATCACTGCATTTTGCCCCTGAAGGCTCATGTTCAGCATGTTCAGATGTCATGTTATGTCAACTAAAAATCCAAAATTAGCCAGCCAAGCAGGATCAGATAGCTCTGGCATCGGTTGTCCCTTTTTTGCCAAGAATTGTCCGATTTCCTCCCTAAGAGAATAGAAGCGCTGCAGTGCAGACCCCCAACTGAGCCATCTTACCTCGTTGTGATACACAACATCTCCGTATTCAGCCTGGATGTCAAGTAGAAACTGTTGAAACTGGCGGTGGCACAGGGCTTTGGAGCGAATATAATTAATAGCCTTCATCACTGGTTTCATAACATGATCATATTTCAGATGTTTGGCACAGAAAACTTGGTGGTGAAGAATACAGTGGAGTTTTATAGCTTTGCCTCCTCCTTCGCTGACTTTGTTACAGACTAGGGTTAATAATCCACTTCGCCCGCCAGCCATGGCAAGTGCGCCATCCGTAATAATCCCAGTGACTTTATTCCACGGTAGTTTCATGTCATCTACGGCGGAACAAACAGAAACAAATAAATCTGTTCCTCTTGTTTGGTCCTTAAGGCTCTGGAGGTCAAGTAGCTCTTCACTCACATTCATGTCATTGTCCACTTCTCTCAAAAAAATCAGTAACTGAGCAGTATCAGATGCATCTGTGCTTTCGTCGCAGGCTAATGAAAAAAAGTCAAACTCCACTCCTTTTGCCTCTAACTGTCTCTTAATATCAGATGAAACATCTTCAATTCTCTGTACCACAGTGTTAAGAGCCAGGCAAACATTGGCCAACACTTGCTTCTTCTCAGGACAAATTTTCTCCACCATTTTCATCACGCAGTCTTTAATAAATTCACCCTCAATAAAAGGTTTGCAGTGCTTAGCAATCAGCGTTGCCACCTTGTAGCTTGCCTTTGTGGCATTTTCATTTGACTCACGGGCTCTTGTGAAAAAGCGCTGCTGTGCCGTTAAAGCAGCTTCCAGTTCCTTCAATTTTTCGCCATATTCGTTCCCAGTTAGCTTGTTGTAGTTAGCATGTTTCATCTGGTAGTGCCTCTTGATATTGAATTCCTTGAAAACAGCCACAGTCTCTTGGCAAATTAGGCAGACACAATTGTTTCGTATTTCAGTGAAAAAATACTCCAATTTCCACTTGCCCTGGAAGCGGCGGCCCTCGCTGTCAACTTTCCTTTTTTTAGTTATAGTCGCCATTTTAGAAATGGGCACACAAGCCTTGTGTCACGCGGCGAGAGTGCTGACTCAGGTCTACTGCCATATTCTGGTGAAATATAACCACCAGCCTTGAAGGAGCAGGAGGCAGCAGGGGACAGCTGCAGGAACTGCTGTGCGGTGAAGGGAAAAATGCCGGCCAGCGGGGATGAGTGACAGGCTGAGCCGGCGGGGAGAAGAGGCTGTGGGCCGCTCGAAATTTGAAAATGGGCCGCAGTTGGCCCCTGGGCCGGACTTTGGACATGCCTGCTCTAGATGCTCAGAGACTCAGCTATGAGGTCAGAAAATCACTTCAACCTCATGGCAAGATCCCTTGTCACATCCAGGATGGAAAGATGCAGCAGGCTGATCTTGAAGGTTGCAAAAGTGACCTTGGAGTCAGGGTTTTAGAGGTGCTCTAGGAGTAGGGAAGGGAGGATCATGGAACTGCATGGTATGGTATAAACTGGTGGCACCTCAGCATCCTTTCCTCCAGCTCCTAAGCCCCCACATCAATAGCCATGAGGAGCCAACTAGCTGAATTGCAGGAGAAGGAGCACAGCAGTGCCCTTCACTTCTCTACATCTTCCACCCTTATCCATGACTGGATTGCTCCCTTAGTGACTCATGCTGCCCTTCATGTACAAGAGATACATATACTTACACAGCAGTAATAGTAATCCCAGTACTGTTGCAGCAACGCCCCAGGGGGCCAAAGTTGAATTAGATAGCTCTTCAGAGGGACTACGAGCTACAGGAACGTCCAAAGGAACATGATCCATAGGGATACCTGGTCTGGGTTCAAAACATTCACTTGGAATCACACAGTTGCAATACTGCACTATTATTTCACTTGTTCCACTGTGACCGGCATTATCCGATATCTTCACATTAATTGTATAAGAGCCATAGACTATTTCTTCCACTGGTGAAAGCAATGCTGAGTCGTCTGTAAAACAAATCATTCAGAACTAGTATTGAATACTAATAGATTGCTGCATTAACCATACTTATATTTATAGGAGTGAAATAGCCAGAAGGTATAAGCGTACCTTCATTTTGTGTTATTGTCCATGTTAAGCTCATTGGCAACTCTATTTCAAAATGGAATGGTATTGTGTAGGGAGGCAGATCAGCATCAAAGGCCGTAATAATAACTGGCTTCTTGTCCTTACACATGATATACTTTTTTCTAGTAACCACTGGATAATTGTCATTCTCATCCATTAGTTTTATCACAATTTCCCCAGTACCTGTTCTATCACCTGGGAAATTAAAATACCTCATAGTTTAATGCAGTAAATACATAAACTTTTCAAAACCAGGCTGGCTTCATCTCGTCTCTGAAGATACATGGTCATGATAATGATTTTGCAACCCAAATTAGATGATAATTTTTTTCTCACCCTCCTGTGGCTCAAGAACATAAGAAGAGCCGTGTTGGCTCAGACCAGGAGCCATCTGATCCAACCTTCTGTTCACACAGCGGCCAGTCAGCCACCCGCAGGAAATCCCACAGCATAGCAAACCTGACTGGAGAATGCTAGGAGTTGTAAGACATTTCTAGAAATATACAGGATTGTACCCTGACTAAATATGGCTTGATAAGAATAATTAAACATCTGAAATATTATTCCTGTTCAGTACTATGTTAGTATACAACAAAGAGAAAGAAGTAACATTCTGCTAAAAAGAAAAACAAAAGTTTCAAAATTATTAGTAAGATTCTAAGAACATCTTGAGAGAATTCAAATACAACTATTCAAAATATTCCAAAATGTTTGTGGTTTCAACTCTCTTTGCTCCCTTATTTATTCACTATTGTTATCTATATGGTGTCTTATCTGCTAAAAGCCATCAAGATGGTATACAAGAATTTAAACAGTAAAATCTCAACACAATACAAACAGGAGAATTATAATGGCATAAACATTAAAAGTACACATTGTGAAGAGCCTGTCTGTAAAGAGTCTTTGCACCTTCCTAATGGCCAAGAGGGATGGGCAATCAGTTCTTGAGGGAATACATTCCATAGTGGGGCAGGTTCATAGCAAAGCAAGCAATTCTTTTATTCCAACCTTATTATAACTGAGCTAACTAACTAAACAGCTGGCTCTGTTCTACGAACCCTTCCTTTTTCTGCAAGGACAACTGACTTTTACTTTTGCAGAGGACTGATCAGATGTGATCAGCACAGAGGTCAGAAGGAGACAAAATCTCTTCTTGTATCCTGTGGGTTTTGCGGGCCCACAAGTGCTGTGGAGGATAATGCAAATCTGTTCTAGACATTTGGGGTAAAAAGAAGAAGAGAAGGTTCCAATAACAAAATTGTGCCTCAGCAGAAGAAACTACTGAAAACTATGCTGCCTTGAGTTCTTAGAAGAAAGGTGCACATGTAATTATCAAATTAAAGAGTAAATGTTCTCCAATGCTGAACAAAGAAAAGTCCACTCATGCCTTAGAATTTTCCCTTCCTGTCCACCCCACTGTACCTTTCCATGCTCTCCATAATCTCCCAGCGCAACACTGGGGACCAAGGGACTGAGAAATTCATTTTGCTAATGAATTCGGTTCTGTTGCCAGACAGATGAAATTTGGTGTAACCCATTGTAGGTTTCCCATATCTTGCAGTTACACAAAATATAATACAACTATTTGTGTCAAATATTTACTGTGTCAAATATTTACTGACACAGAAACTTTCTGTTAACTTCTGTGAAAGGAACTATGTTATATGCTAATGGAGTTGTGGTCCTGCTTGTAAAAGAAAGCTCCTGCAAGTATTGAGGTCTATGCATTTGTATGACTGCTGGGTTGTGACTAATTCCATAATATCCTGTTGTAGTTGATTCAGAGGAAGCAAGCAGATGTACAATGATGGGGAAAATAAAATATCTGCTTTTCGACATGAGATATACTTCAGCTATGAGACTTGATACACCTAGGATTATTTCCAGGTAGAATGGACTCCTTTGTCCCCACACAAATCTATCTCAGAGAGTTGGGGGGATGCATTGGAACAGATATGGGACATGTAAGGGGTGTAAAAGAAAGGAAGGGAAGGGAAAATTCCATTGTGTATTCTGTTGTGTAACATTGGATTTAACCCTCAATAAACTGACTTATAGGATGCTTGAATTCTAACAGTATTGGAACACTTTCAAAGCAGTGGCTTGAGAGGGAGACAGCACAGAATACAGTTAATGATTTGAGTCTAATGTTACATCAACACCAACTTTTAAGTGCATTTGGTACTCACTCTGATCAGTTGCAGAGACTGTTACCTTACACTGAGTATATTCAAGGTTTGCTGCATCTCTGTCTAAAATTTTAGTGGTTCTCAGCTGTCCTTTGTGATCAATGGTGATCCAATCACATGGGTTGTTTATTATTCTGTAACTGTTAAGAACACAGGAAGGTATCAAGAAAACAAGCTGCCTCATATGGAGTCTGACTCAGTTTACAGTAGCCAGTAACAGTCTGACAACAGCTCTCAATTTCAGTAGACGGATATGTGCCAAACATGCTTCCTGATGTTATGCACAATCTATGACTAAATTACACTATTAACCAAATTCCCAAAACCAAAAAACAAAACAAAAAACCCCATGTACCTTAGGCCTCCGCTTGTCTCAGTTAATGGGTCCCTTGCTTGGTAACTACCAACCACTGTTCCACCTGGCAAACATTCCTTTATGTTTAGAACATATTCAGATGGCTCAAATACTGGTGCTTCATCCTGATCCTTAATTCTGATCACAACAACAGCTGTCCTTGTTGGAAAGGCTTTTGAATAAGGAGCATAAGGTGCTTCATTATTTACAATAATTTCTAATATTCTCTCCTTGGTATCTTCATAGTCCAGTCCCTGGAAAGAAATGCAAGAATCAGGGATTCTTCTTCCCAAGTAGTATTTTGTTGGTAAAATATATGTAACATCTGCTGTCTGACATCTGTTATGTATCTTCCATGTAACTGTTATTCATCCTTTATCTCAGTTAAGGGGGTTCAGAGTGTATTTTTTTTAACTTGATTTCTTATTTACAAATAATTATAGGCAAGGAAAAGCAAAATGATGAACTGGATGAAAAATGGACTTTATAAGCAAGGGAATGCAAGCTACCTTTCAATTTTTAAAATTATTATAATAGGTTAATGATATCTAAGATGACTTCAAGCTAGTTAGAGACAAAATTCAGGAAAATTGCAAAACAGAAGATCAGTTGGGCAAGTATCTGCAGATTTTCAAGTTGTTCCTTAGCTCCTGACCCAAATGCACTCTTTCCCTCACATTATGATTATGATTATGATTATTATAACATTTCTACATTATGCACTCTTTCCCTACCCTAACACCCCCCCACACCCCCGTGCCCCAGTCTTTCCTATGTACAATTACCTTTAACACAGCTAAGCAGCCAACATTCCTCTTTTGATCAATAGTAATAGAAAAACTATTATCTTCATTTCCTTTTATAATAGTGAATGTAGCCAACCACGAGGCTGTTTCAGGTTCATCATCATCAATCACAGGGATGCATAATATTTCTCCATTTACTGTATTTTCATATAATTGCACTTCATACTAAAGTAAACAAGTTTTAAAATATTAGTTTATCAACACTTTAGACACTTTGATACATCTTGTATGTATCTGTGCTTTCTTTGTACGTGGATCTCAGTTTGCACACTTATTTCTTGTTTTTCTTTGGCCTTCTAGCCATTCTTTGTAGCATCATTCCCCTATGACAATCTCTCGAATACATGTAGAAGAGTGGCTTGAGATTGAAACTGAGTCATGTTTAGGAAAGTCGCATTTAAAACAGTGGAAAGGGTTAGTGATGACTACCTTAAGTCCCTTTGGTCTACTGTAAGGATTGGATCCTGTATTCTGGACTGAATCTTGGATTCAATTTGCTATAATAGCACTATAGAAAACTGAGATCATCCAGGAGGTAACCAAGGTTTTAAACGTTCTGATAAAGACAAGCATACCATAGTTTGCATTAATTCTGGAGCATTGTCATTTACATCTTCAATCCCAATGAACACTTCTGCTGTGGTGCACAAACCGAATTCCTGGCCTCCCATATCTCTTGCTTCTATGTGAACTTTATACTCTGATATTGTCTGCAGAACATTGAAAAGAAATATGGAGATTTTTCTCTTTATATTGATTTAAAAGACTGCAATTTGGTTGGGGTTGTTTGCACTTTCAACACAGAATTGGAACAGGACACATGCCTTGAACTGCTTATTTGCAACAACAGGCATATCTTGTTTGAAAAGGAACAACTGGCATGACATCTTGACCCAAAGCACCAGCCTCTCTTCTTTCTTCAGTGTCCCCATGACATCTAGCTTTTTTAGCTATTATTTTTATTACATTCATAAGAACCTCTTCTCTATGGAGCTCAAAGCAAAATTGTGGCTTCTACACACACATTTGCACACATGAAAGTGTATGCACACACATGCACACACACATATTTTATCATTACAGTGGTTCACATGTTCTGTTAACCCAGGGTATGGATGCAAGTTTGGGTTATCGTTGAATCCTGGGTTACTTGTATGTGTTATCCCTGCACTGTGGTTTAACTATACCCTGTGTATCACAAGGAACCAGAGATTCCAATCCAACAATAAATAATGTATTTATTGTATTGTTAACAACCCATTATTGAACCATAGTAGAGGGTTTGTACATAATGACAACCAATGAGTCAACAATGAACTATACTTTGGATTGTCATTACATGTGAATCAAGTGCATGACTGATCCAAGTCATCCAGTGGCTGAAAGGAGAGTTGAACTTGATCTCTACAACATCTATCTATGTAATCTCTCTGATGACTAGAGAGGGTCTGGATTTAAGCACTTGTAGATATTTGAGATCAGTCTATTTATATCTCCTCTCTGTTTAATATCCAGCATGTTTTCTTATCATATCAGCTCACAGACTTACAGTATGTCAATGCATGATAGACGCACAGAAAAATTACCTCTCTGTCCAGATCTGGTGATGCTACAGTAATAAAGCCTGAATCAGGGTGTATAACAAATGCCCACGGATTCTGGTAATTTTGAAGATTCTGGGGCACGAGTTTGTATTTCACTTTAGTATGTAAGGTGTATGGCTCATCATTATCTGTTGCAGTCACTTGCCCAACTGTTGTCCCTGCATGTACAAGGAATCAATTTTAAATTTCCAGTTTTCTTTCATAGGACAGATTTCCAAGTATAATTTAGATCATTTTTCATAAATCCAACCATACACTTCAAAATTTACCACAAAAAGGTATACTTATTTCTGAGAAATCTATAGAGATTTCTTATCAATTTATGGGGATATAGCATTAGTGAACATTTAATCAATGGAATCACCACTTCTACTACTATTGTAAGTACTATTGTATTATACCCAGTTTTCTTTCTTGTAAGAACCCGAGGCAGCTTACAAGGCGCTTCTCCTATCCATTTTATCTTCACAACAACATTTCTGTGAAGTATGACCAGCCCAAACTCACTCAGCAAGCTTTGTGACTGAGTGAGACTAGAACCTAGATCACCTGAGTCCCAGTCCAACACATGCCATCCTCTTTCCATGTGTGTGTGTGTTCTCACTGAAAACAGATTTCTTCTATTTTATTTTTTTCTTAGAGAAAGTAGATATGCTGTGTCCTTACAACAAGTTGCTTGGGGAAGTGTGTGTGTGATTCCCATAGTGTGTATGGGATTCCCATTGCATTCCCATAAAATACTGGAGAACTTGAAAGCTGGGCAATGTTTAATTCCATTTTTTAAGACAAAGAAACCAGTTTTAAATTAATCAAATATCAAAACACACAAGGATGTGTTAAACCAATACCAACCATACCATATATGGATCCTTTGAGTATTGCATGCATGATAGAACATTTTACTATGCAGCATAAACTGCATCTTTCCTCTGTACATTATATATTCTACACACACACACACACACACACACACACACAGTTGTATGTATGCATGTTCCTATACATATTATCCTATATATTTTGCAAGCAACTTTTTAAACCTCATTTAATGGAGTAGGAGAGAAGAAGTTGTACTTAGGGAGTAACATTAAAAGACACACACATTCATGGATCTGTGAATAATTCGGAGCTGGTATTTTCTCACTGCAGATTTGACACTGAATGAAAATATTTTTAAAAAGAACGAATGTGTATGTATACACAGCTGTGTGAATACACCTTTGTGCATTAAGAGATGTTATTTGAATTTTCCAGATACATGTTCAGAATAACATTTCCAAATGTGCATGCACACATCTGTTTGAAGTATGATCAAACTAACTATTGAAACTGATCCAATAACACTGGTAGAGAAATTGCAAAGATGTATTCAGTTTTAATTAGCATCATACAAATGTTTATCCAAAGAGATATTTAAAATTAACATTACCAATTCTACTGTTTTCAAGAATATGAAAAATATAAATATCACGGTCAAAAACTGGAGCATTATCATTATCATCCTCTATTCTGATCATATGTTCAAGTGGAATTTCTGGGGTATAACCATCTAGCGCCACTGCATAGCAAATGAGCTGCATAAGACAGAGTAAAAGAAATACTTTTAATTCCCAATTGCTCCAGCATAGATTCTTTTTGACAAATCAGGTGACAATTGTTCCATTTCATATTTCCATACAATGTTTTGCAGAAGTAAATTTTCTGCTTGAATGTGCACCCAATGACATGTTCTTCATGTCTGCCTGACTGGCCACCTTGTCCTGAACTTTTCCACTGCATGAAAGAAGTGTTATCAGAAAAGTGATAAATTAAGGAAGGTATTAGCATTCCGAAGGAAATCCTGTCTGCAATCTCTCATCTGGGAAAAAGCCCCCTAAATGACTCCTCAGGCTGTTTGACTGATGCCGGCGCAGCTTCCCTCAGCACTCACATCAGTCTTCTTCCCCATCAGATCACCCCAACAGGAGCCTCTGGCTGTCCAGGCAAGAGGGTGCTATGCTACTATAGCCTGGGTTCAATATGTTGCCTAGCAACCAAATGGCAAATGACTGGATGGCAGTCTTTCCCAACTTGGAACTTCCAGATATGCTGAACTACAGCTCCTATCATACCCTGCTGGAACTACCAATGGCCAAGCTGGGAGGGGAGAGTGGAATCTCTTGTCCAAAGATCTCTAGTATATAGATCAGGGAAAGCTGTTAGACACTAAAGAACAGAGGGAAACCTTCAAAAGAAAGCTCCCAAAAAGGGCTTTTAAGTGGCAAGTATAACATGCCAACCTTGGACATACAATTATCTACAAAATAAATGTCAGACAAATAGCTATTCATTTGTTACATATGTGCATTCACTTTACATTTCTTTCCCAAGAGAACTCACTGGCTACTTTTAGCAAGCCAAATATTTGGTTTTTTTCCTTCTTTTTCTTTTCAGTGTATGTTGTTTTTAACCATTCTGTTCCTCATACTGAAGATGAAGAAATAATAGACATGATTGATAGCATGACCATATGTCTGTTTTTTGAATATATAGGTAAAAGGTAAAGGTTTCCCCATGACATTAAAGTCCAGTCATGTCTGACTCTAGGGGGTGCTGCTCATCCTCATTTCCTAGCTGAGGGAGCCAACATTTGTCCGCAGACAGTCTCCGTGGTCATGTGGCTGGCATGACTAAACACCGAAGTGCACGGAATGCTGTTACCATCCCACCGAAATGGTACCTTTTTATCTACTTGCATTTGCATGCTTTCACACTGCAAGGTTGGTAGGAACTGGGACAGAGTACAGGAGCTCATCCCATCTGCAGATTCAAACTGTCAACCTTTCGATCAACCAGCCCACTGGTTCAGTGGTTTAACCCGCTGCACCACCACATTCCTTTTGAATATATACAGAATAGTAAAAGAAATTCCATTAATAAATTTAACCATTGATTACCAGTCAATAAAGAGAAGTTTGGAACTCATACCTTAAATTCTGGGTACATCTCCCGATCTATAGGTCTGGTAACAAAGAGGTTTCCAGTTTCTTGCTCAATGTAAAAGTAATTTAGTGGTGGTTTGTCAACACCGTGGCCACTTATGGAATATCTAATATTGTATTTTAGGTCCATGTCAGAAGAGAACTGTGAAAATGCAAAAAAACTTGAAACAAAAACCAATGTTAATGAACATTGCCTTTCTTGTTGCCTACTTATTAAGAATCCGCCAGGAATTGCATGATTTATAAAGGATCCCTTTGTAATTCTTGTTGTTAGTCGCGAAGTCATGTCCGACCCATCGCGACCCCATGGACAACATTCCTCCAGGCCTTCCTGTCCTCCACCATCCCCTGGAGTCCACTTAAGCTCACACCAACTGCTTCAGTGACTCCATCTATTCACCTCATCCTTTGCCATCCCCTTCTTCTTTTGCCATCTATTGTTCCCAGCATTAGGCTCTTCTCCAGGGAGTCCTTCCTTCTCATTAGGTGGCCAAAGTATTTGAGTTTCATCTTCAGTATCTGGCCTTCTAAAGAGCAGTCAGGGTTGATCTCCTCTAGGACTGATTGGTTTGATCTCCTTGCTGTCCAAGTGACTCGCAGGAGTCTCCACCAGTACCACAATTCAAAGGCCTCAATCCTTTGCCGCTCAGCCTTCCTTATGGTCCAGCTTTCACAGCCTTCACAGCCATACATTGCAAGCCTTTGTATTACATGGCGATAAAATATTTCCATATACTAGTGGCCCCATACAAGGTCTGTAACAATTGTAGCTGGCTGTGGATAATCCTGCCTGAAAAGTGCATATTCCTGCCAGGGCGTCACATCTTGGTTGCCTCAGGCACTGTAGTAGAAAATTTGTGTGATTAGGTGAATACACATAATAGGTTCATAAAATCATTGAGCTGAATGGAACTTTGGAGTTAGCAAGTCCAACTCCTTGCTCAAGGCAAGAAATACAATGCAGTGTGCAACTACACCATCCCTGAGGGTTGGTTATACAGTCTCTGCTTAAATATCTCCAGCAAAGGAGAGTCCATCACCTCCCAAGACAGTCTGTTCCATTGTCAAACTGGTGTTGCCATTAACAAGCTTAGTGAATAGTTTACCAATATTATGGACTTGTGTGAAGCAGTAAGCACAAATGTATAAGCAGCTTCCAGGTGGAAGCATTAACATGCAGTAGGCTTCCATTTCTGCATTTAAACATGTAGCACAGACTTAGTTTATTTAATATCTTCTGTTGTGATGCCAAATATGTTCATAGGATATGAGCATAGGTAAAATACCTTGTCCTAGACTGTCACAACAGTGGTATGCATCCAGTGTTAATCTTGCTTAAAGTAGACCCATTTAAATGAAAGGGACTTAAGTTAGTCCAATATGGATAGAACCAAATATTTTTGTTGTGATGTGCCATCAAGACATTTCTGACTTAAGGCAACCCTATGAATGAATGGTCTCCAAAATTTGCTTTATGAAATTGATCCACTTCACATCTTGTCTTGCACAACTTCTATTGCCTTTGACTTTCCCAAGCATTATTGTCTTCTCCAGTGAGTTTTGCCTTCTTGTGATGTGTCCAAAGTACAACAGCCTCAATTTCATCATTTTTACTTTCAGAGAAAGTTCTGACTTGATTTGACCCAGTTATTTGCCTTTCTGACAGTTCAGAATATTCATAAACTTGTTTCAAACCCATCAATTTTCTTCCAGTCATCTTCCTTCTCTGTGCAGCTTTCATATCCATAAATAAGGGAATACAATTATGTGAATGATCATGGTTTTGTTCTCTAGTAAACTGTCCTTACACCTGCTTATTTTTATTAGTTCCTTCACTGCTGCCCTTCCAAGTCTCAGTTTTCTTCTAATTTCCTGGCTGCAGTTTCCATCTGAATTAATTACTGAACCAAAGTCTTTCACAATTTCAATTTCTTCATTGATGGCAAAAGGTCTACCATTTTGTAGTTATGATTTTTGTTTTCTTACTGTTCAGCTGGTCCCACTTTTGAACATTGTTCTTTCAATTTCATCAGCAGTCATTTCATTTCATTGCTACTTTCTGCTAGTCATATAGCTTCATCTACATATCTTAACTACTGATGCATATTTCTACCAATTTTCATTCCCCCTTCCTCTGTCCCTTATCTAGCTTTCCTTATGACATGTGCTGCATACAGACAGAACAGATAAAATGCATCCTTGTCTAATGCATTTGCCTATATGAAATCAATCTATTTCTCCATATTCTGTTCTGACAGTAGCTTCTTATCCACAATGCAGGTTATGCATAGGGACAATCAAGTGCTGAGAACCACCCATTTCTTCCAGAAACAGCCTTAGTTTCTCAAGATCCACACTAACTAAGGCTTTGTTGAAGTCTGTCTTCTGACATGTTTTGGTGTGCACCAGCCGCCAATGCATATTTGCAATAAGATCTCGAGTGTCTCTTCTTCTTTGAAATGTGGTGTGGACATCAGGCATTTCCCATTCCATTTAGGGTAATATCCTTTTTTTTTTGGAATAAGTTTTATTCTAAATAAACCTAATACAAAGAAAAACTAAAAAACAACATCAGTCATCAGAAACATTGGACCTACTGGGTCAGCCTCCACTTTTTTCTTTTTATGTTAACTTATAAACATATTTGAATCTATGCAAACCCCCCTTTCTCTAGCCAATAATAAAAAGAGTCCCAGGTTTGATAGAAGTCAATGTCTTCTTTCTCCTTCAGTGACAAAGTCAATCTGTCCATTTCTGCACAGTCCAAGATCTTTTTTAGGATCAGTTCATTGGTGGGTGGTTCTTCACTTTTCCAGTGTTGGGCACCATTTAGGGTAATATCCTTTGTTGCAACACCTTGCCTGCCTGTGAAATGAGTGCAATTGTCCTATTGTTGCTGTATTCCTTAGCATCTTCTTTCTTGGGGACTGGAATGTGTATTGAACATGTCCAATCTGTGGGTCATTGTTTTCTTTTCCATAATTATTGGCATATTCTTGTTAGGATTTGGACCAATTCAGTCCCTGTAGCTTGCACAGTTCGATTGCTATCCTATCTACTCAAGGTGCTTTCTTCCTTTCAAGCACTTTCATAGCATCTTTCACTTTCTAATATTTCAGGTTGTTCCTCATAGATCCTTCACTGAAAACGTCTGCCATCTCTTTATCTATTTTCTCCTTGTCAGAAATGTTCACTTGTTTGACTCTCAGCATTCCTAAACTAAGATTGAATTCCACTTTGATTTCTTGGATCTTTTGGAAAGGGTCTTCTACTTCCTTCCTGAGGCCAGTGTAATTTATTTTATTTTATTTATTTTATCTGCCTCTGCATGGTAGTTGCTGAAAAGCTGCATATAGAATTCTGAACCTATTTCACTTTTTCTTTTATTCTCATTGGTCCTTAGTGATTGTGAATATTTCTTCTATCATCCATCTAGGCAATTCTGGTGTAACACAGACAATCTCAACAGTACAAAAGTAATTTAAAAGACAAATTAGTGGTTTGTTCACGAAAATGATGATTTGTAGACCCTTGCTCTTAGCTTGCAAGACCCCTTGCAAGAATAAAGGAGATGCACTTGGTTTTGGAGAGTTTTTATAGTGGTGCTCTGAAGGCTTCTTTTAATATTGCAGTTTTCACTGATGGATTTCCTGCCTTATTAAAAAGAAAATCAATCTAAAACTACCCAAATCTTCATGACTGCTCTCCTAACAATTCATCCTAAAACATTTGCTTTCTCAAAAGTTCCATTAATTTCATAAGCATTTCATTTACAAATCATGTTTTTAATAATGCCTTGGTTGGGTTTTCTCAATAACATCTCTATGCATAATAATATATATTATCTGGTGCAAGGTAGATATTAATAGAAATGTAAAATGTAAAATATTTAAAACCTGTTGAATTTGCATTGGAAAAGGTCCTAATGAGTTTTCCATTATACTGGTTGGAACAGGATCCCATCTTCTTTTAGTTCGTCTAAGAACAGTGTCTCGTGCATGTCTTGCCTTTGCTCTTTGGTTCTAGAAGAGAGAGAGCTAGTGTAAACAATTAAAGTACATATACTCAAGATGAGTATTATACCTCAGATTGTTTATGCCATAGGTGGGATTCCTCCATTTATACCTCACAAATATTTTGAAAAACGCAGTGCTTTGGTTGGTTTGTTTGTTGATTGGTGTTATGCTAAGAAGATCCTTGGAAATGCAATTTTGATTCAAGAAGGTGGGTGTGGCTTTCCAAATCTTGTTCCACTTAGACTGGATTTTCTATCTTGGTCAATTTAGAAATCTTCCTGTCTGAATCCTATTTGTAAATGTACAGAATTGGGTTCTTAGCACATTTAAATTGATAGGGTTCCTGACTATAGTCCTGGGTGGTAGAGACATGTGTCATACAAATCACATGTATTATATTTATATTCTATATTTATCTATATATCTATTTATTTATCTATTTATCATCTATTTTCTCATGTTGAATTGATACTGTGGGAAAATCCAGATTTAATAATTGGTTAAAAAGAAGCTGTTGTGTTGGACTTGAATAAGTAACCTGATTTTTACACTGAACCAACTAGAGTAGTGATTATGAGCTTTTGCCTTTGTTACTTTGCATGTTAAATATGACTGGTTGAATGGCAATACTTGAAGATCCAACATTTTTTAGAATCTAGGTTTGGCTCTGCCACCATTTAAGCTTCAGAGCCTCATTCACCATGGGAAGCACTTATTGAAGTTGATGATATATTGACCTTTAATTAATACTTATAAATACTTATTATTGGTTAATAAATGCAATACATAATGAATATATTTCACATAGTAAATATATGTTAGTATATGTGGAATCTTAAGAAGGAACACAATAGGAAACAGGATTGTTCTATTTAGCCTAATTAATGGCTCACTGCTTTAGCCTTTATATCTGAACCCTATATAGATCTTAGGCTATGCGTCATTCTGCAAGAAATCTTGTTTTAAGTCTATAGGCTGTCACAGTATTTATTAAGTGTTTGTCTAAGCCAGTTAATTGCTGGCACTGTAATACAGCTAATGCTTCTTTTAACGTAAGTTTTGACAATGCCCAATAATTGCCTCTTTTAGTGAAGACGTTATTAGATGAATAAACTTATATTCAAACATTCTTTAATAATTACTGATGTACATGTACATTCTTCCTGGAAGATGCATGATCCACACTCCTTCAACAACTACAACACTAATTTTATACATTGGAATGATAAATGCTCAGCTCCTATAAGGAAATGAATTGAAGACCTGACCATCTGTTCAACATTTGAATAGGTGGCATATAGGCATCATTTGTGAATGGATACATGTACCAATGACTGTACTGAAGTTTATGTATAAGTTTTAGAAAACTGTATTTTCATGTATGCACACATTTATCTGTATGTATTCAAAATGAGATATTTAAATTTATATAGCAATAATTTTCCTTCTGCATAGTTTTGTAAATCTGTTTTAAAGCAACAACAAAATGATTAAAAAGCAATCAAAATCATGTATCTTTGTGTATATTTTCTGTTGGTTACATGCCACTATTTTTCCATCCTTGTATTATTCAAGTAGCTGCTCTCCAGCAGTCCTTAAACAGGGCTAGCCAAGACATCTTGCTGCCAGAGGACAAGATGGCATCTCCATCAATTCCATGAATGAAAGCCAACTGAAACAACAGTTGGAACTCGCTTCAGTATTGGGGCTGAAGACAGCAGGCCAGCTTAGGAGGTACAAGCTAGGCTGCAACACACAAGTTCTCTCTTCTACCACTTTGTTACTGCCAGCCAGCATTTTGCCACCTGATGCACTTGTTCCACCCAGCCTAATGACAGGGCCTAGCCTGCCTTAAAATATTACTTTCTGGCTTCCTGCATAATTGTACTCTGTGGAATTGTACAGTAGTTTTGTCATTAAAAAACCCCCTACTAACTGTCCTTCTTGCACTATGCTCATTAAATTTTAAATTTTGCCTCCAAATTGGATTGAGATGGTTGGAACCTTCAATGGTCTTGGTCAGTGTTATACTTTGTAGAACACTTTTTGAGTGGAATAAGTAGCACTTTTTTGGAAGGATCGCTACATATGTTACTTTTGGTCTTCTAAATAGGTCATGTAGGCTATTGTATAAAATGACACAGAAAAAGCTAAAAGATGAGAAACAAACTTGAATAGCAAAAAAGTCATGTCGAATGTAATGATACAAATATATCTACCTGGTTTGGATAAGTTATCAAACTAATGTATATCTTCTTTTGTGCATGAATGTCTTTAAATAATACGATGATGGTGTTTTCTTGAAAAGACAAGAAAATATCAGCTGTTGTATATAATGAACCATCTTCTAGAATTGTAAAGTTGGGGTTGCTTGAGTGAATAATTCCAGAATGTGTAAAACACGGTTTCATGTTTACTGTAAGAAAAGTTACATTTCCAAAGCTAGTTGAGGTAGAAGAAAGAACATTTACAAAGGTAAAATTCTGAAGTAAGAAGTAACAATTTAAAAATAGTGTTAACAGTACTATCCTAAGCAACTCAGGTTATCTAACTGAGGGGAGGGAGAGAGGAGAGCAGGGCAATGGTATCTCTCTGCTGAATGAAGAACAGTCTGTAGCAGGGCAGGTACAGTCAGTTCAACATATCCTGATATGTTCAAGGAAAACTCTGTGAACATAAATCTGATGCAATCCCTCCTGATGATAGCTCCCACAACATTCTTAGTGTATATATTTGGTATGTTCCAGAGGTGTGTTTCAAGGCTGGGGATGTTCTGTGGTGGATTCACTGAATCCAAACCCTCTCCATTCTTCTGTCAGGTCCCAGAATTGCCTCCCTGCTCCACCTTGTCTTCACCAACCTGGATCTGCCATACTTAATTTTCCTCCCCCATTTTGATGGAGTTAAGGTTTGAAAACAGAAGATCTGCTGGACTAAAAAGATCACTACAGCCCCCCTTCCATCAACTCCTGTCCTGGTCAGCCTTTGCTAGATGGAACTAAGATGTGGTGGGCATTCTACCACTTTACTTCACATCCCTCCCATACCACTTAAAATTACTCTTTAAATCAGAGTTACAGTAGACAGGAAGAGGAGTCCCTGCCCCTCTAGGTACCATTAACTTAGCTGTTGATATCAAAGGTGGCCTGCAGCTGAGTGTGCTGGAGAAATATGGTGACTTCAGAATTAAAATTCCAATGTCTAGAGGCAACTCTAGTTTAAGTTAACACAAATACTAACTGGATACTATTTAAATTATTTTGTTGGAAACAAACAGGTATCATCTGATATTGCATATATTAAATTGCTTTAGATAAATGTAAAAGCAAAGTAGTCTTGGACTTTCTCACCTCTTCCAACAAACATCCCCGCCTCCAGTTTATGAGGGACATTAAATGTCACTTTCTTGCAAGTATCACAAAACAAGCACAAAACCTGAGAGAGAGAAGTTTCAAAAGCTCAAAGACATCAAATTGTACTTAATATAAAAGAACATTTTTTCTTATGCAAACTTTGTATTGATGATCTTGTGATTTTAGCAGGGCTTGGTTCATAAAGGATTGCATTTCTGAACCAAGAAACATGAAATTCAGTAACAACACACAGACAGATATATTTGCTAGGAAAGGTTTGGCATTGGATAGAGGGGTCCCCAGTGGTGGGAAGGAGCTCCATTGGCAGCAGGCTCCATCTACTTTATAACTCTGTCACCGAAAGGCCACTGCTCTTGGTGCCCCTGCTAGAGGTAGGTGGTAAACATCCCCCAAATGGGTTGGGGGTTGGGGAGGAATTCAGTTACACCAGAACATCCTGGACAGCTGTGATGAGGAGAAGCGTCTATCGCTCCCTCCTTACTTACCTCACTTTGGATTGCTTCATATTGTTAAGCATTTTGCAAACAAAAAAGCCTGATGAACTGAAAAAAACAGTTACATGGAATGCTGTCAAACATATATTTAAGTAATATAAAAGGAATATTTTCCTACTACTATATTTACATTTTAAAAACTTGGCTACAAAAGTCCCAGCTTTATTTGAAATTCCTTAAGAGTTAATGTACTTTTAAATGAGCATTTACCTACATTTGATTGAATGAACCACTGAAATGTATTCCTATTATTGCCACATTGAGGGTGGGGGTAGGATGCCCCTGGAGGCTCTCGAATAATTTGATCTTTGCAATAGACTCAAAGAATGTCACAATTAGCTTTGCCTTAAGGCTTACCTGGAGGGTGGCCTGGATCAACCCAATGGAGCAGACCTCAACCAAAACTAAAAACCTAACCTTCTTTTTCCAACATGCTTTTATTATTATATGCAACTTCTACAGAAATATTTTATGCAATTTTATTTTACATTCAACAAGCAACACCCCACCACTGCTATAAACTCACAACATACACAAACACACATGCTTTCTGAAATAGTTTCATCTTATGTGAATAGTATAGCCCTTCTTGCTCATTATTTACATGCTTTCCAAGGCATTCCTGACTGCTGTTGGCATTCCCAATTTCTCTGGCATCAGGTTTTCTATTTCTCTAGTTTTTGTTTGTTTGTGGGTTTATTTGGTGTGTGTCATTTGTTATGTTTATCCCTTAGGTATTAATAAGCAATCATTAACATTGCTTATTAATACCTGTTCTTCTGAGCAGATGGAGAGAATTCTTCCAGTTCTGGATGGTTGAACACTCCCTTTGAAGGAACAGATTCATAGTTTGGGGTGTTCCCTGAATCATCTTTGTCACTAGAGACCCAGGTGGCCTCAGTGGCACAGAATGCCTTATACCAGCTTTAGCTGGTGGCCCAGCTATGCCTCTATCTGGACCAGCATAGCCTAGTTTCACTAATCTATAATTTGATAATCCCTAAATTAGATTAGTGCAATGCACTTTACATGGGACCTTGAAGACTGGAAGCTGAGGTTGGTGCACAATGTGGTGGTCAGATTAGTAGCAGGGACCAGAACACCAGTTCTAGCCCACTTGCATTGGTTGCCTATATGCTTCCAAGCCCAGTTCAAGGTGTTGGCTTTAACCTATAAAGACCTACATGGCTTGGGCCCATAATACCCAACAGAAAACCTCTCTCAACCACAAGCTACCCATATACTACAATCACAAACTGGAGCTTCCCTTCAAATGCCACCTTCAAGGGGGGCTTGGTTGCTAGCAACATGGAGAAGGGTCTTTTCAGAAGTGGCCCTACAGTTATGGAAAATACTTCCCACTGAGGCCTACCTGGCATCAATCCATCGATTTTCAGTGCCTGTTTAAGACTGTCCTCTATGATGGGACATATAATTAGTTGGGGCATTGTCAACTACGTAACAGGTCTCATGGCTTATTCTGAATAAGCTATTGTAGCTTTATTTAAATTTGGTGTTTACATTTTTATTTATTTATTTAGAAAATTTGTAGACTGTCCATTACTGTCGTCTCTGGACAGCTTACAACAATATTTATATATTGTGGTTGTATGGTGTTTTACTGCACTGTATTTTTATTGTGAATGAAAATTTACCATGAAATTCTCATGGCATTTCATTCATTGTTATGAACTGCCCAAAGAGCTTCAGTTATGGGTAGCATAGCAGTTTAAATCACAATCATAATAGTCAAACATTGCTGTTTCATAGCCTGTTCCTCATCTCATTTCCTAGTTACAATAGATCATCCTTTACCTGTTCTTATCCCTCTATTTCTACAGTTTTTGTTATCTGATGACTATTAAAACTGATATTGATTAGTTCAATTCACCACTGCAGTATTGTATGACAAAATACTTGAACTCAATTGCACATAATGAATTAATCAGTGGAAGTAACTGCTCACAACCCCTGATTGATCAGGGCCATGTAGAAGCAAGTACTCTGTCTTCTCAGTACTGATCACTTCAGTTTTCCATCCAGTTTAGCAAACAACTTGGGAACACCTCATTCCTGGCTTATTTGCTGTAATGCCTTTAATCTGGGAGGGACTCTGCTTTGTGAACAACAAGTAACCCAGAGTTTTAATCCAGCAATAGACTATGAGTTCAAACTCTGGGTTGTTTGTGCCCCAAACACCCAGAGTTTCAGGTCTGCACATTACAGCAACTAACTTACGGCCCCAACAACTCTTTTCCTCTTGCTGTACAAATATGGGCCTTCATATGTAGAATGACAATGAAGACCTGATTGGTATAAAGCTACAACAGAAAATGTTTCTGGTACAGTCCTAACATTTAGGACTTTTTAAACATTATGAACCAGTTCCAATAGTCAAAACCAAATTTCTGCATACATTTACTAAAAATATATTTCCACACAAGTTCAAAGAGATGCAATGAAACTGAACAAAAACAGATTATATCCTCTACTGAATTTAAATTTTGTCCAAAATAATCAAATATCAGTTAATTTATTGAAACATAATGCTACTTGTAACATTTTAGTGCAAATGCAGAAACAATTATCCTGATATTGTATATTATCGATACACTAATAGTTCCTTTTTCATCCATTCTAAAATGGCTATGTTACACTATAGAGAACAAAGAAATAAACATAACACAATGCAACCCTATACATGTCTAAGTAGAAGGAATTTCCACTGAACTCAATGGAACTTTTCCTCACTTAAGTGGGTTTTGGACTTCAGCCCTAAACTTTGTGTATGGACTCAAGTTCCCAAATTTCTCTACAGTCCCTTGAAAAATTTTCATAGTTCCATAACATTAAAACACTTGATTTTGGAGCATCAAACAGTTCCATACTGTTCCCTATGTTTGAAATTTTGATCTATGCATTATGCAGATTAAATGTAAACAATCTACCAGAGCCTGATTACAAATGAAAGATTCTATACCAGTATTAAGATTTTCAATGTTACTTTGTTTTATTATATATGGACTTATTTAACTACATTTGTATACAATTAAAATGTTCTTAGCTACATTTGATAAATAGGAAAGTTATACTTTCCTAATTACTAAAAAAGTACAGCCACTTTCAATGCTGGTAAAAATTCTTAGTTTCACATTCATCACTGCCACATGTCAGATGAATAGGATGTTTCCTGTTCTAGAAAAAGACAATATATTTTGCACCAGCTTCATAAAGTACAGCAGCTGCTGTATATTTTTAGATGCTACTTCCAATGCACATCAGCAAAACCCTATAATGCCTCTATAATGTCTTTGAACTTAATCACATCAGTGTTATTTGGGCCCTTAAATTCACCATTATTTGATTTGTGGCCACTTACTGTTGCTGTACAACCAATTCCACATTATTTTCTACTCACCAGTAAGTTGAAGAAAAGCAGTACCAAGATAGTTCTATGCAAGATGCTTCCTCTACACTTTACCACAGCTGGTAGCATCATTTCTGGAACTCTTGCATTCAAGAGTTTATTGGTTTACTGAAGTCACTGGACCCAGTGATGGTGAAAGGAAAAGATATATGCCCAGGGCAGCAAGGCAGCAGCATCAAGTGAAGGTTGAAGAAAGTGAATTTAACTTTCTTCCCTTCCTCTCTCTCTCTCTTCCCCTAACTCCAGCTTTGACTGTCTGAGATAAAGGACCAGATCAGCTGGCTTGCTTAATTTGATAGGGCTTGTCCCAAAAGAGACTTGCAGAACATGCTCTTTCTCATTTCAGAGTTCCCCTCCCCTGGTGAAATTCTAGAGGAGGAAGAAATTGGATGGATTGGACCCAAGGGCTTGCCTTTCCCTGGGCAAAATTTTTGCCATTTTCAGTCAGCAATCCAAGTTTGCATGTTGTAAAAGACAGAAGAGAGAATAAAGAAGAGTGCCCACCCTTGCTATAACTCAGGCATGGAGAATATATGGCCCTCCAGGCGCTGGAGTACAGTACCCCTCACCAAAGGTTATGCTAGCTTGGGCTGATGAAAGCTGCAAGTCACTGAGGTGGTGTTAGAACACCTACCTTGGTAACCCCAGAGATTTTGAGCAGTGCTCTGGGTGTTTAGAGCTGCTCCAATTGCTATAATCTTTCTTAATACCAACCTGGTTCTTTCCTCTGAACTCAGTAGCCTTGCACTTCCTAGGTGACCTTGGGACTCATGCATTAGCAGATTAATAAGGAGTATAGCAAAGAAGCTCCAGCATTTTAACCTTGAAGTAAGGCTGCCACCATGTATGTATTCATGCATTTATTATATTTATAGCCCACCATTTTTCTTTCCCAGGAAGTCAAGGCAGTTTACATAATTTTCCTCCTCCTCTAAATATTATCCTCACAACAGAAACCCTGTGGGATAAACTGAGCTGAGAGTCTATGACTGGCCCAAAGTCACCCAGTTAGCTCCATGACTGAGTGGGTACTAGAACCCAGAGCATCTGAGTCCCAGACTCAGAGTGGTTAAGAGTCCTGTGCTCTTAACCACTAAACCACAATACATTTCTTCCCTAGTCTGGTCATTAGTTTCATCAAGTTCAGAGTCCATAATTGCCTAAGAGTATGACTGTCACCTGGCTTTCTTTGAACATGCCTGACTCTGCAGAGACCTGCCCAACCAGTTGCTCCTGGGCAATTACACTTGCCCTCTGGGGCACTGCAGGCAGTGAGGCCCTGACAAGAGAAACAGCAAGAGCATTGGCTGCTCACATATCAAATGGCATTCCAATTGCCATCCACACCTGCTGCTTTCTCCAACTTGGCCCAGGCCCCTTACCTTGTGGGAAAACAGGAATGCTAAGGGTGGCTGGTGAATCAGCAGCAATACCTGGAATTGGGACAAGGTATTGTACGTGTGTATGACTTGCCGTGGCCTGGGTGACTGAAGCAGCTTGGCTCTGCCTTAATTTTCCACTTTTGGATGATCTATTGGCCCAGTTCTGGCAGCACATCATCTTCCTTGTAAGTAGGAGTTTTCCCTAGGCTAGAGAAAGCTGAGTAGGTATGGGAGGCGGATCAGGGTTTCTTGCTCTTTTGCATTGAAAAGCTAAAATTCCATGTGGCATAATAAGGATTCACAAATGTCCTCTGACAAATAAGCTTTTGTGAACAGGAGTCCATAACCATTTATATAGCAAATTATTTTGAAATAAGTTGTTTTTCATGTAACTAGAGAAACGTGACATATCCTGCAATAAAGTCCATGATACATCCAATCTCCCTGAATTAGCTGGAGGTGGGGGCTGCCCACATGCACTTCCCCCACAGCTGCCCCTTCTGGCTCTTTTTGCCTGAGGGTTTTCTTTTTCCTTAGATTAAATGCCCTGTTCAAATACCCTACAGTTGTGAGTGACTTTGGCAGGTTTCCTTAAAGACAGACAGATACAGACACACAGAGACACTGGCAGCTCCCTCAAAGCTGATTTGAAGCATCCTGAAAAGCAGCAAATGATTCATTATTTAATTTCTTAATTATTCTTGGACTTTGCCTGCCTGGGAGGGGCAGAGGCCAAAGCAACTTGACTAGTTTTGAGTATTCTCTGCAGGGTTAGGGGAAGACACCATTTACTGCTCTGCCTCAGACAACAAGATATCTTTGCGTCATCCCTGGACATGGTCATAAAGACTCAGCAGCTGGGAAAAGATAGGGGTATAGAGATCCGTGGATGGAGAAACATATTCTGGATTTTCTCAGACTTTCTCTGTAAACCTAAACATGCTCACTCAATAGTAAGTGTACTGAGTTCAAAGTGGTTTCAGATTTTCTGATAGACCTACCAGAAGGTGCCATGAGAGCCAATAAAAAAACCCTACAGTTTAATAGAAGCAAACAATCATCCTTTGACAGAAACCATTTTTAAAGTTTAACTATATTTGGATAATGTTTTCCTCTCCTTTTATTGCACATAACCTCTGAAGCAGCACCAACCAATGGTAAGGAAAGGTGGAGATTATAATTCAAAACATCTGAGCGGAATCATATTGGGAAAGATCACTGCAGTAATAATTTTTTTTTACTAGAAAATAATTTCCCACCTTTAACACATGATCCAATGTTACTCATGTTCAGCTTTCAACTTCCTCTTACTTCAACAATATCATAGCATGTGTTCAGTGGATTTAAAGTCATAGATAAGTATTTCATGCACCGTATTGAATGAAGGACTACGAACTGTAATTTAGAACTATTTAATATGTGCAAAGAAATAGAAAACAGCAAAGAAGGAAAAATAAGAAGCCTTTCTAGAAGATCCATGAAATCAAAGTGAAATTCGAATCTATTTTGGGATTGCTAAAAGACCAAAAGGAGAACATTATATCTGACAAGGATAAAATAAAGAGAAGGTTGAAACAACATGCAGAAGAGATAATAAGATGACAGATTCCTTCAAAGAGGAATCCCATGAAGAAGAACCTGTACTATTAGAAAGTGAAATGAAAGCATTTGGAAGGAAGAAAGCACCTGGAATAGTTAGGGTTCCAATCAAAATGTTCCAAGCTACAGAGACTGAATTGATTCAAATCCTAAAAAGAATATGCCAACAAATATGGAAAACAAACAAACAGAACAATGACACACAGACTGGAAACCTTGCATATGCATTCCAGTGCCAAAGAAAGCTGCTAAGGAAGGCAGCAACCATAGGGCCATTACGCTCATCTCCCACACAGGCAAAGTGATGTTCAAGGTGTTGCAAGAAAGAATATTAACTTACAAGGAGTGAGAAATGCCTGCTGTTCAAACTGGAATCTAAAAGGGAAGAAACTCTTGAGGTCATATTGCAAATATATGATGCCTACTGAAGCACAGCAAAGAATTTCAGAAGAAAATCAGTCTATGCCTTATAGACTGCAACAAAGCCTTTGGGTGGATCAATCTTGTGCCTTCCCTAACTTTGTGCCTTCCAGACATGTGTGGATTGCAATATTCAGAATTCCCAGTGAAAGGCCTTGCTGGATGGGAATTCTGGGAGTTGTGATCAAATGCCTCTGCAGACCACCTGGTTGGGGAAGGCTGGTGTGGATCATGAGAAACTTGAGATGGGTCTGAAAGAATTGGGCATGCCTCAGCCCACATCATAAGGAAAGGTGGATTAGGATCAAAGAAAGGCAGAGTGAAAATTGGAGGGAACATCAATTGGTGGAACAGTACTGAATTGAATGACTCCTGATGAAAGGGAAAGAAGAAAGTACAAAAGCAGGACTGCAGCTGAACAGTAAGAAAACAAAAGCTATGACTGCAGAAAAAGTACAGAACTATACTGCCAACAATGAAAAAAATGAAATGGTGGAAGATTTTGCATATCTTGGTTCAATAACTGAAATGGAGACAGTGGTCAAGAAATAAGAAGGCTGAACTTGGAAGGGCTTCATGGAGGAACTAGAAAAAGATCATTAAAAGTAAAGGTGTTTCATTAGACAGCAAGGCCAAGATCAGCCACATGATTGTGTACCCCATCACTTTATGGGACAGTGAAAACAGCAAGGGAAAAATTGATGGGTTTGAAATATTGTGCTGGAGGAGAGCTTTGCAAATATCTTGGACCAAACGAAAGATGAACAAGTGGGTCCTATATTAAATCAAGCCAGAACTTTCCCTGGAAGCAAAAATGATGAAACTGAGGCTTTTGTACTTTAGGTATATCATGAGAATAAAAGACTCACTGGAGAAGACAGTAATGCTAAGAGAAGCTGAATACAGGAGAAGAGAGAACAAATAAGATATTGATAATTCCATAAAGAAGCCACAGCCTTGAGTTTGCAGAGGCTCAGCAGGTCTGTCAAGAATGGTCCATTCTGAATGACACTATTCATAATTTTGACAGGATGATTTGACAGAATGTAATAAATATGTGACAAACAGTAGATTTTTTATTAATAATTGCTTGATTAGGAGAACAATGTGGGAATGAGAGAGAAGATTAAAAGGTTATGTAATCAATGATGTTAATTCCCAGTGTTAATTGTGGACTGGACGGAAGAAGTTGACAGGGAGAAGAAATGGAGAATGAGCACATATAATTATCTGATGTCTAAGAAAGGGGAACCCAAAAGAAATTAATTTCCTGACTTGTTACACAAGGTTAGAAAATTCCTGTGGGATGGACAGACTTGGGTTTCTCAGCTTTAGATCCAGATTCAAAAACTGGGTACTAGCCTCAAGCCACCATGGCCTTGAATGGCATCATGTTGTCTGCACCTTTCATACACTATGCCCTTGCACAGCAAGAGGGCAATGACAATGGGATTTGCTAAGCTGAATTGTTGTCTAGAAGGAAAGTGGGGTCACAGTATGTGATATAAAGAGGTTTAAGTCTTCTCTGCTCAGCATTGATGCTCCCCTCCCCAGTCACTCCCCATGTGACTTGTTCTGTCAGCTCAGGAGTGAGTACTTATGTGAAGTAGTAGTTCCCCTTTACTCAGCACTGGTTAAGCCTTATCTGAAGTACTGTGTCCAGTTCTGCGC